GGTGGGGGGCGGGGGGGGGGCATCACACGGACCCGCGGCCCTTGTGCCCACGCGGTGCACAGCTGAGTTGTGTTGTGGTGCTGCGTGAGGGGGTGGTCCTGTTCAGGGCCAGGGTGGTCTGGTGGGGGCCGAACGCCCAAGCCTGGCCTTGACCCAGGGAGTCAGTGCTGGCCCGCGTTTGCCTGCACGATACCTAGCCACCCCGCTACAATGGCACCTGCCCCGATTTCAAACACCCTGCCCGCTGCACACACCCCTGGATTGCGAAGCCCGAGCCACTCCCGACGCGCCCCGGCGGCGGCGCCCGCTGTCTGCCGTGCCCCCCCCCCAGGGCCAAGGCTGACCTGAAGCAGGAGTCTGACCCCTTCAAGAGGGCGGTGCTGGACGGCCGCCAGCTGGCGCTCAAGGTGTCCGCCAACAGCGTGTACGGCTTCACGGGTGAGGGGGGGGGTACGGGGGTGGGAGCGGGTGGTGGTGATGCTGGCGGGGCGGAGGGACGGAGTATGATGGCTGGTTGTCGGAGAAACCACAGCCGGGAGCTGGAGGGGCCGCCGCGCAAGCACGCCTGCCGCCCATCAAGACCACTTGCGCGCATTCAACATCAACCCCACTCTCCCCGAGCCCGCACCTTGACGCCGATCACCAATGCCCCGGCCCGGTAATGCTCCCCTCTGCCGCCCCCCCCCCCCCGCAGGCGCCACTGTGGGCAAGATGCCGTGCCTGGCCATCAGCGCCACCACCACCGCCTACGGCCGTCAGATGATCGAGGCCACGCGCTCCTGGGTGCAGGGGGAGTTCTGCACCGCGCGGGGCCGCCCCGCGGACTGCGAGGTCATCTACGGCGACACAGACAGCGTCATGGTCAACTTCAAGGCGGGTCGCCGCGATCTGGCCGTGATCTGGGCGTGATCTGGAATGGTCTTACATGCAGCGTATTGTCAGCAATGCGGCAGCGTGTGCCTGTGCCGCCCTCCTGCACCAGGCCCTGGGTGGTGCACTGCTGCACTCGGCCCTGGCCACACCTCGCTACAACACACCAGCCTCCGTAACACCACACCACATCCCACTGCAGCCGGCGCAGCAAAGCCGCCCATGCCCGCCTCTCAGCCATAATCCTGCCCCTCCGCGACCCTGACTCTCCGTGCCCCAAACCGCTGCTGGGCCCCGCAGGTGGCGGACGTGGCCACGGCCATGGCCCTGGGGCAGGAGGCGGCGCAGCTCATCAGCCAAAAGTTCCCGCCACCGGTCAAGCTCGAGTTTGAGAAGGTGACGCCGCAGCACACCACAGCGACGCTGTTGAACTCACTGCCGCACACATACTTTCCCCAAGCATGCCAACAACACACACGTCCTTTTGCGCACGTGCGTGTGCATGCAGGCATACACGACGCGCGAGCGCCCGCGTGTGTGCGCGCACAATCACACAAT